TTATTTTTAAATTTTTTTCAGAGACAGGCTGGAGTGGGTTGGTGTAATCAGAACTCACTGCAACCTTGAATGCCTGGGCTCAAGCAATCCTCCCACCTCAGTCTCCCAAGTAGCTCGGACTATAGGAGCAGCATCATGCCCAGCGACTTTTTTAAAATTTTTTGTAGAGATGGGATCTCACTATGTTGCTCAGACTGGTCTTAAACTATTAACCTCAAGCAATCCTCCCACTTGACCTCTTAAAGTGCTAGGTTTACAGGCACGAGCCACTGCACCTACCCAGTTTTTTTTAAAAAATATAGGACAACATTAAGGGGTTTAATCAGGGCTGTGTGTATCTATATATTTCTAATATCTTTAATCTTTATGATTATTTTCAGGCAAGACCAGCTGAAAGAGGTTCTGCAACTGTGTCATTTGGAGAGCTAGGAAAAATAAACAATCTTATGTCTCAGAGGAAAAAATCACAATAAATATTTTATTCCATGTTAATGTCCAGAATTTTCATCAGAAATGGATCGCTTTCACATCTAAAATTATTGTATTTTGAAGCAAGAAGCACTCTCTAAGCTACTTACTAATAGACTTTTCAAATAATTGGAATAACCTAATACCATCTCTGTATTTAGTAATCATTTCAGTTTCACATTGTTTCTGTTTTCATAAGGATGCTGTTAGCTAGTGATTTGGGTGTCTTGTCTGCAGATTCAGCCTAAAAGCAAAGAAAATATTTCCCTGAAAAATTCACAGATATGCTCACACATAATTATCTAACTTTATAAGAAAACATTATTCACGTTGACATTTTGTACCTTTTTCTCTTTCTAGTCCTTAGTTATTTCTGTGAGAGGACCATAGCCATGGAGATGAAGGGAAGAACAAGTTGGTAGGTTCTTTATAGTTCTGGCTCATTTAGAGTGAAAACATAGACTTTATATCATTACTACTATAAGGCACAAAAGTCAAATTTTATTTATCAAACATACTTAAGCCAGAATTTTATTTGTCGTAGTGTCATCTTTGCCTCATAGAGGAACAGATGATTTGGTACTTTCTCCATAGCTATTGTGTAGTTTTGGACTTTAGAAGCCCATATATCTTTATTGAATTCCTCCTCACCTCTTTTTTTAAATCATCTAAATTCTGATCTTATTTATTTTTTACCTCCATGGTCTGAGTGGGACCACCATGGTTTTTATGCCCCACCTTATACGTTAGGGAAGAAGAAAACATTTTAAAGACTTACAGATGCAAAATCACGTATAAAAGTTTCTGCACAGTGATCAAATGTGCAGTTAATTTTAGACTTTCCTTTGTAATTTCAGGCCTTACGCACTATTATCCTAATCCAAGTTCACTGTCCCATTGTCATCTAGTAAGGTTCAAAATTATTTGGAAATAATTGAGCTCTGACAGAATAGGTGGGAAGAACATAGATGGTAATAAGAAGGAAGTGGGGAGGAAGCTAAGAAGCAAACAGGAGTGAATGCCCAGACTGATTTTTGCAGTGCATAGTGAGCTGTTTGCTGTCCTTTCCATTTAACCTGAGCATGGCCCCAGCCTCCTCTCCAGTAATTTATGGTAGTCTTTGCTTCTCTCTCCTCTTAGTTTCTTTCTCCTCTACCTTCTTTCCCTCTCTCTACCCTATGAGCACCAAGCTCTTCATGGGTACAGGCTTTGTCTTACCCTGTACATAGCATCATCCTTTACACATAGTAATAGATGTTCAGTTACATTCTGAGTTGAATTAAACTGTAAAAAACATGCCCTTTAAAAGACTAAATTAAAAGTTAAAAACCACAGGAGAAAATTACTATTCTTGCTCTCTTCAGTTGGGAAAATCTTTGATATTTGAAATTAGGGTAGTCTTGGTAGCTTTTTGGTTTTGTTTTTAACACAGTGAAAGAAAGAACCTGTGAAGGAGAATTTGGGGAATATTTTTTAGCTAATTTTCAGAATTTGAAAAGAAAGAACAAACGACAAAGATCCCTGTGTATTAAAGTGCAAACTGATGATGAACAGATAAATTCTAGAGTGTCTGTGTTCCTAAAAATGCATGTGTTTATGTACATTAATATTTATTTTTGAAGAGTGCACACGAAAGTGTAAGTGGCTGTTGCTGAGGAAGGGAACTAAGGAACTTGGTGAGTCTGTGTCATTTTGTTTGTCTGGGATGCAGAAACTAGGAGGGAAACTTGTCATTTTTTTTCTTAACTTTCTGTAAATTGTGAAAATTTTCCTACCAAAGATACTGCTTTTGTTTATTTAATGCCTACAGGGTATATGTGGGTGGTAGAGGTGGGGTTGGGGCGAAATCTGCCCTGGGCTATCTCAAAAATAAACTCTATTAGTTTATAAAAATAAAGGAAAGAAAAATTAACACAATTGAGGACTCTTTTGTTTAATCTGAGTGACAGTAGTGAAATTATTTATTTTAGTGTGAATGACATTAATAAAATTTTTTTTTAGTTAATATCTGCTTGAAGTATGCTATCAAGCTTTAATTGTTCAGAACCCTCAGGAAATTTGTGTTTATGAATAGCCAAATTTTCCAAATGATTAAGAGCTCATTGCTTTAAGCAACAAAAGTTTAAAAATATGTCTTATCAAAAATTTTTTCAAAATATGTTACATTCTTAAATGGTGTATGGAAAATAACCATTTCTTGATAACCCCACGAGTATTATCATAAACTCAAGTTGTATGGTATCGCTTGTTCCCAGACTGACAGGTCCCAAGAATGGTGTAGTTTGCTTTGTGTCTCTTTTCCAACAATTTTCTTATTTGCTGTCGGTTGAGAGTCTTGACAGCTTGACCAAAATGAACTTTCTTGAGTCAGTTCCTGTTTCTTCTGATCTGCTATAAGATTAGAATTCAGATTGGAAGGTTTCTAGGACTGGTGTATAAGGCAGGAAAGAGGATCCTAGGTGCTGGGAGAAGGACTTCCCTTTGGAGTCAAAGATGTGAGCTTTATTGGTTCCTCATTGAATTTCATGCTCTAGGCACCAACTATTCCCTACCCTTTTAGTTGTCACGTGGACAGGGCTTCAGTGTGTGGACGTTGTGACACCAATTGACTGCTAGGAGACTGGATTGTTCCTCATTCCTGGCAGTATTCCAGGTTGTTGGCCTGAAGAATTCCAGAGGTGGCAGTAAATATGAAAATTTATATTTTATGTGATTGCTTTATAGAAACTTTCTGTAGGATTTGTTGACAAGTATTATAAAAAGTTACAGAAGTGTGTAACTTATAAAGTATCTATGAAGGAAGTTTTGTTATTTTTCAAACCCTTTCAGTACAATTTTCATCCACTAGGTGGAAACAGTTATGGTATGGCCTATATTAAAAGATGTGCAACTTTATGCCGTTTATATATCCCTTAAGTAGTAGGACTGGAATAAAAGTATTTTACTGTGGATTGGCTTCCGTCTAGAAAAGAAATTAATATTAACAAATCTTTGAAAAAAAGAGAAAGATACTTGGCACAGTGGTTTTTTTTTGTTTTTGTTTTTGTTTTTTTTTTGAGACAGTCTCACTCTGTTGTCCGGGCTAGAGTGCTGTGGTGTCAGTCCAGCTCACAGCAACCTCAAACTCCTGGGCTCAAGCCATCCTCCTGCCTCAGCCTCCCGAGTAGCTGGGACTACAGGTGTTCACCACCATGCCTAGCCTGGCACAATGATTATGATTCTGTTCCTTCCTAAGTTACCATTAGCCTCTCTTGCTTGAGAAGAAATATTCTGAACTCTTTTTTGGAGGGGTCAGTTGTTGATAATGTGAAGTTAATCTTCAGAAAACTTACAAGTAGACCTACCGTTCCAGATACTGGTATATTTTAATTCTCTGCCTGGTTATTTGACAGGTAATTTATCTTACTGGTTTGAAAAAAAAAACATTAATTTGAAAATAATAGAAGGTGCAGTGAGCACTGGCAAGTTGTTAACAAATAAGGAAATAAAGCTTTGCCATCTGTGGTGGTTTTAAAATCTATCCACAAATTCTTTGATATGTTTCTCCTTAAGACAGGGCACTTCATTTCCCTCCCCTCAAGTATGGGCTGAATTTAGTGATTTCCTTTTCAATGAATAGAATGTGGAAGTGATAATGTGTCACTTCTGAGAGTAGGTTATAAAAGGCATTGCCTCCTCTTTGCTCTCTCGTGAATCACTCTGGGGAAAGCAAGCGTCTGTATAGTGAGGCCACTCAAGCAGCTCTGTGGAGAGGACCTAGAGGTGAGGAGCAGAGGCCTCCTGCCAAAAGCCGCCTGAGGGAGCCACCTTGGAAGCAGATCCTCCAGGCCCAGTCAAACTTCAAGATGACTGCAGTCCCAGCCAAGATTTGACCAAAACCTCACGAGAGAACCTCAGCAAGAATGACCCCAGCTAAGCCACTCTCCAATTTCTTACCTACAGAAAGTAAGATAATAAATGTTTGTTGTTTAAGCAATTGTGTTTTAGAGTAATTTGTTCCACAGCTGTAGATAACTAATACACTGTCTTTGGGAAGTTCAGTAGGGTAACAGGATATTCTGAGTTTTTACTTTAAATAGAAAACATAGCCTGCTTATTTAAAATTAGGTAAAGTTAACATAAACTATCATAGCACGTTTGCTCTCAGAGAATGCCAGGCCAAGATACTCTGGAGGCCTGGAGGTTTGATTCCATGGTATCTTGAAATAGAACTAACCTCCCAAGGTTAGTTTAGTAGGCCTCAAATTTCATTTCCTAGGAATATTAGGATCAAGTTTTTGGAAGCATAACTGGGGCTAATTCCAAAATTAAAACAGAATTTGGGAAGACTCTGACCTTGAGAATTCAATGAGCTACACAACTACACAGATTCCTCTATCAGTTCCCTTCTGCCTTAGCTGTTGGGTTGCCAACGGCTCATTATCGGGATGGACTGTTGACACTGCATACTTGTTACCAGGCTCTCAAATGAGCACAATGCCATGGAACTAGGGCTTTTTAAAAGCCTGACTTGATCTTGTGTTGATAGCTATTGCTAAAACCAGGTAAAGGTAAACTCCTTGTACTTTCAAAGTGGCCAGTATGAACCAGCCAGTCTTCAGACCCCTCGGACAGGAATCTTGTGCATGTGTCCAAGATGCCCATTGCTAGTTCTATCAGAGCCAGCCTGGTACAGGGATAGTCGGGAGCAATGACCAGGTCTCAGTGTTAGGAGTCTTTGTACCTGGGAGATTGGGGCGAGGAGAGTTCCAAAGGAAGACTTGCCAGCCTTTGCCACAAAAGGCTACAGAAGTAGTGGAAAGGGCAGGGACCAGGAGTCAGGTGGTCTGGGATAGTCCTGGCTCTGTTCCTGATGTTGGGGCAAACTCCATCTCTCTGACCTCAGGAACTTTGTCTGTAAAACTACAGGTTTGGTATCTGATGAGCCTCAAAGGAGGCTACAGGCCTACCTTCCAAGTTGCTGAGGGGCTTTTTCAAAAAAAAACACTTCCACTTTCCTCACCTTGGTTAAGAATCATGGCCAC